AATCCATTTGTCAGAAAGCCTTGGGAGAGTGCCAGGCCGAAGAAAATCGCGTTGTCGGCGCATTTTGCTTTAGATTAGTAGCGGCGAGAGTTTCGAGCGCTCGCGCTTCTTCTTTCCGCCATCACGTGCGAGACGAGCGAATCGAGCGATGTGATCGACCAAGGCTACGATGGATTAACATTCTTCGAGCGTCAACAGGAAGACCGCTAAATAATAGAGGGAGAGGGTGGGAGGGCATATGTACGTGCGCGGGAAAGAGAAGAGACGAGGAGAAGTGCGCTTAGCGCAAACACAAGTTTTAGGATTTAATTGTATCGGAACACAATAATGACTTGTTCCCCCTGACGGCTGAATTCGATGAAACGTTGATGCTTATCGCGCTTTATTTATAATGGCGCATGGAATAAATAATGTACGCAAACTTCATATAAGGTTAAATTAAATAGATACTTGGGAATTATGCATAATTCAACGCCAAAAACGACAAGGAAATAAAAATCTATTCAAATTACATCTTTGTGTTAATGCGAGCTTACGCTCTAGTGTAATGAACAATAATTTTCGTAAAATAATTCACCCCGACGCTGGCAATATTCTCGATTAATGTTTTGGTGTTTTTGTTCTTTGTTTTTTGTTTTTTGTTTTTCTTTTTGTTTTTGTTTTTTTTTGTTTTTTTTTGTTTTGTATGCGCTTATAACGGACGAAATTTAAGTTTATAAGAGATAAATTTAATAGGAAATGCCGAGGAGGAACGCGGATGGTGTAAATTTTCGCTTAATCGATCATTGTAAAATGTATTGTAAAAGGTAAAAATCGAATTGATATCGACACTTTTCAAACAATAATATTATAACGGACAACACGTCTCGGGGCTCATTAAGCTTTCATTATCAATTCATTATAATCGACAGTAAAGATAAATTTGTTTATAAGCGTGAAGGTGCCTACGTAAACATCTCCATTTAATTATCCGATTATAGAGTGCGGCGTTGTGGGGCGGGGGTCGCGTGTGGGGGGGGGTGGGATTTTTTAGTGATTTGTAATTATCGAGAACGAGAACGTATGCCTGTGAAATCTTTTATAAAATGGGGTACGCATATAATCAAACGTCATTATAACAAAAAAAAACCTTGGTATCTTAATTCGTACCCCAAATCGAAAAAATTTACTTCGATATGGACTTCTTCAGATCCACCAAAAATCCCTTTGTTCCCTTGAAACTTCGAGCAAACGATCGTTTTTCATGAATTCGATTTGCCTGAATGGTTGATGTTGATGAAACCACGTGTAAATTGCACCAACTAAATGCAGTCGTTGTTTAACTTTCTTAAATTTCAATGCTCCGAGACCCTGTTGCATATTTTTCATTGCGTGTATCAAGACCTCGTTGTTGTTTTTTTTTTTTTTTTTTTTTTTTTTTTTTTAATAATTATTTTTTTATTTTTGATTTCCTTATAGATAAAACAATGTATTCGTGCGTATTAATGGCATTACTATGGAGCAACTACGCATGAGATAACTCTGATCTGTTATTTTTCCTTTAACGTTTAAACCAACCGAGAGATGAATTAATACATATAAAAATTTGTACATTTCATACACGATATTCCTTATAGGCATATTGGAATTTCGATTTTTATCTACAATGGAGGGCGTAATTAATATAAAAAATCAGCTTCTGTATTTTGAATGGTAAAGAAACATTTGCTATTCGAATATGAATAATCATCAATAAATAATATTTTATATTGTGAATGACGCGTAATAACTTGTTAAAATACGAGTAAAAATTATAGTTTTTAAATTTGCTATAATTTAAAATATAATTTCTAAAATATAACAGATATTTTTTGCATATGATAGAACTAATTTTTGAATTAGTGAATTTTGAACTTACGTAGTACTCGAGTGCGTGCGCGCATGTATACGTAAATACTCGTACGTCAAAAGAAAAGAATGGATGCAAATGTTTTATTTGAGAAATCTTACAGAATGTTTCCGTAACGTTATCTGGGAATACTTTTTTTTTTCTTCTAATTATTACAAAATTTCCTCTCCGATTAAGTAAAATCGATTTTCACTCATTAGCATTCAGTAGTATTGTTAAATTACAGCATTCTATTGGATAATTAAATTTATGAAGAAAAATAATGTTGTAGAGCCTTAATTAAAAGTATTAATACGAATATACGTAGTTGCTATTAATATTATATAAATGCGATGAAATTAAGAAAAGGATTCATTAATTATAATAGCGCGTTAAGGAAAATATAAACGAAGCAAACGTACTGTGTTATTCTAAGACGAGCATAGCATAATTATAATTTCTTTGTATAGTAACAAGGACAGGTTTCTCCGGGTCACCGATATTAATGACATATTAATGGGAGTAATAATGCGTTACTTAAGCACCAAATATGTAGTTTCTATTTTGATAACACATGTAAATATCACATACGAGTTAATTATATCAATGATTTTAATTAAGGATCCTTATATCATCTCGTAATACTTTAATGCATTTTATGTAATTTTGACTATTGTCGATACATATCCAACCACCTCGATAAGGACGAGCATCCAAATTTTCACACCACTTGCCCATATATTCATCCGCTAACCGATATATATATATATATATATATATATATATATATACACACACATATAATATAATACAATTGAAATTTTTAATATAATAGTATATGGTTGAAAATCTTACTAAAAAGTTGCGAATTACGATATGTATGAAAGAACAAAATTTTCCACTATATTTTTTACATTATTGCTGAGATTTCTTATTTGAAAAATTATTGGGATTTATACAATGTCTAAGCGATCTATGACTCAGAATAAATAACATCATTTCTTTATCACTTTAATACTCCTAGTCACGGGTCATATAACAGCGTCTTTATATTGTTCGAATTACGACAATCGATTAATAAAATTGTTTAATTAGCTTATTTATATTATTGACAAGATGGAATAAATTTAAAACGAGTGCCAGCAACAATTCATCGAGTGCACATAAAACAAGGGAACACTAGGATTTTTCATAAGCAAAGATTACCATCACTAAAAACAAACCAAAACAAAACAAAACATAACAAAAAAAAACAAAAAAAAAACAAAAAAAAACAAAAAAAAACCAAATATTTTAACTGCTGCACGAGGCACTGAACTTGAAAACTTTATTCTATATTCATAACTAAACGTAAATCATTCGTCATGTTTTCCAATAAGTTTAGCAGAAATTATCCGTATCAAAGTGTTTATTGTAATTAATCGATCAATCTTGTGCGTACGACACGAATTTTTGGGAACGACTAGAATAATCTCACACGGCGATGCCATTGACAGTAGCCCGCTCGTGAAAATTGTAAGAGAGAAATAGCATGAAAGACCGGCATCCGAAATATCGACGAGGGGTCTAGGATATTCGTGACTCGCGTAGTCATCGGCATGCACACGACGATCACTCGGGAAAGACCCGAAAAGCCGTAGGACTTGGGCGCGAGACCTCGGTTCTGCGCGCAGCCGATGGATGCGCGCGCGCGTGCGCGGCATTACGCAATGGGCCGATCGGACATTATAAAAGCGGCAACTTCAAACGGCCCTGACTGCAGTTCGTTTAGCAGTGGATCCCGGGATAGATCGGCTCACCGAGGCGTTAATAGACAAGCCAAGCGATAATTCAGCTGAATAACAATGGCGTGGACCGAAGTCGCGTTAGCGGCGATGCTCTTCGTCGTGGGTGTCATCTCCTCGCCCGCATTCGTGCCGGAGCCCTCCAGAGGTGAGCGAAAGACGCGCCTCGTGTTCAGGTTCCTTGCTGCCCTCCCTCACCCCCCGCCCCCCCTACCCCTACCCCCCACCCACCGCCCCATTAGCAGCAGGTGCTTCCGTGTCATTATCCGCTCGGTCCTTTTACGCGGCCAGTCGACGTGACATTTAGCTGCGATAATGAGACCGATGATGACTTTCTCGACGCGCGGCCGGATTTTCGAGCGCGCAATCTCCGGGAAAAGCTGTCGAACGAATAACCGAGGAATATAGCGCGTTTTCACAAAATCTTTTCTATCCGCTCGGCCACTCTAATATGGTCAGTACAATTCACGGACGGAAATTCATTATTGGTATTGAGGTGAAAATGTTATCAATACTCTCATGTATTTTGATTATTTCGATTTAGCGAGAGTTTCTCTTCCTAATCGCTATAGATCGGTATTATAAAAGTCGGAGACTAAATTCCAATGATTTTTCATTGTTCAATTATTCTGTACGGCATACCGAAATCGTATGGAAGAAAGAAATACTTTGCGTCCAACGCTCATTTGAAAGGAAAGGATAAGCAAATACACTGATAAAGACAATCGAAACTCTTGGAATTTAAAGTAACTGTCATTATGGCAAGATTTGAAATCTTTGTTTATTATTTTTTTGTTTTTTTTTTTTTATTATATAAACGAAGATTAATTAGCGATTTCGAGCGAATGGAATATCCTTATCCACTGATTGTTATAAACGGTAGCAACTTAACATCGATCGAGCCCTAATGTGAAAGGGTAAAATATTTAAATATCCGAGTGCTGAAGTGCTTGAGTAAGCGATCGATTGACAATTCTTATTCGTGTACAGAATTGCTACCACCCAAGATCGACAGCGAGCCTACTTTGGCGACTGACCTAATGGCGCCAGAGGAAGACAAGCTTCTGAAAAGTCCGGCCACGTTATTTTTAATCAATATTTACGGAGTGAAGAACCACACGGCCGAGGATTCCAATGACGTTTTACACGAAGACATTATGAAGGAGTTACCTGACAACGTTACAGGTATTTTTATTTTTGACAATCTGCCGTTTACCGGCGCTTAAATGGAGCGCAAAGCGCTCAATGCCTAATTAATCGATAATATTCGAGCTTAAAACTCTTCCAAGCCGGACTAGCGAAACTTGAAATTATACAAATGATTTTTGAATAACATTTAAATGCAGCTTAAACATGTATGATAGATGTTAATCGATCGATCGTATATCGATGAGAAAGTGACGGAGTGTTTATCGATCGCAATAATTATTAAATTCGCTATAAATTCATCTCATAACTATATCAATAGTCTTTAATAATTAATGGGCCCGTGTGAAATTTTAATCAAAGATGGCGGAAGTAAAGGACGATTATTTATTCAGTTGCTATTGTTTTATTATTCATGCTAAGATTCGATGGCCGTTGCACCTGAATTTACAAAATGAGACGTACGTATTTTGACGAAAATAACTGTTGGCCGCACTTCATATCACCTTATATTTATTTAAATTTTTCTTAATAGTTACTCTATCATAGGATGTTTTTGTTCTATTTTTTTTTTTTTTTTTTTTTTTTTTTTTTTTTTATCGTCTCTTTTGTTTTCTTTGGGATAAATTATCAAACATCACTCTCCATCGGTATTTCCATTAATAAAATCCAAAGTTCCCGTGTCGTTCGGTTAAACAAGGAAGCGACAACGACAACGGCAACGACAACGGCAACGACAACGACAACGGCAACGACAACGACAACGACAAAAACGACATTCGATTAACCGACTCGGCGTGACGTTCTAACAGTCTCGAGAATTATCGTCAATAAACAGTCCAAGTCTCTCACCCCTCCCCCTTTCCCCTCCCACAAAACATGAAATTCGAAAGAAAAGAATTTTTAACGACGCGAACGACTTGTCGGCGATATCCAAAGAGCCACTGAGCATGGTCCTGCTGATCGTCGAGGCCGAGAACGAGGATCATCCGACGAGCTTGGACGAGATCGCCAAGGACCTCGCGGAGGAGGGCTTCACCGTCGAGAAAATCAGCAAGGAGGGCGAGACCCAGCTCATCAAAGTCGACCTCGACTCCGTCGACGGCAACACCAAGTCCGAGGATAACCAGGGCGAGGAGAGCGCGACCGAGGTCACCCAGTACGGCAAACTCATGAAGGTGCGCAGGAAGAGGACCATCTGCCTGGGATGCGATCTCGATTACTACAGGTCCAGGAGACACGGCCACGGACACGGGCGCGTAGGACACGGATACGGCTGTATAGGCGGATGCGGTGGATTCAACCAAGGTAAACGAGTCCTCGCTTTCTTTTTCTTATACGCGGTTACAGGGGGTGGGCGAGCACTCGCGGTCGATGCCATTACCGACTTGCCGGAATCATTTCGAAGATTATGGAAGTTGGAACAATCCTTGTCGACTTAACATCAAGTTCGTATATCACAACGAAACACGGTATTTCCGATCGGAACTATTAGTTTACCTTTTCAATCCCAACATTATGGGAATGAATGGACAAAATTGTAAATTAGACTTACCGATGTACCGAGAGATTTGTATTTTTTACCTTGGCACGTTGACGTTAATAATTTAGAAAAAAAAAGAACAAACAAAAAAAGCATAATTCGTCAAAAGTATCATCACATAAAAGTATTTTTAAGAGGTCGACTTTGTACATTTTACAAACCAATAATTGTTATTTCACGATATTATTTCATGTGAAAAATACGTCGATGCCACTTTTGTAATTTGTATTTGAATATTATTGGTATTAAGATGTAATAGACTTGGAACGTACGAAGTTATTCGTTTAAAATTAATAACGATAATCTGGCCACTCATTTCGCTTGAATCGACATTTTCATAATTAATGATAGATTTATTTATTTAATCGAGCGCTTCATTACCACTGGCTTGCAATTATTAAATTGGCAAATAAATATTTGTATTTTTAGTACCACCGCAATACCCGCGACAACCGTACTACCCGCAGCAGCCGTACTACCCGCAACAGCCGTATTATCCTCAGCAAGGAAACATGTGAGTGTTGAATTATTTCGCCGAACCTTCATACACGACAATTTCCATACTCTCGAAGCCATTGAAAAGTTACGCAAACTATTTTAATGTATACAAAAGATATCGAGACTCGCGATTCCCTCTAATGCTCAAACATTGCTAATGAAATATTATTTAAATTTTTGTTTTACGTTAAGTTACCATTGAAATGCCTTTAAAATTAGCCGATGACGATTGTGCTGAAAAACTTGAAGAAGCGATAAAAATTTTTTTTGCAAAATACTATTAGTTTATACGAAAGATAGATATATAGATAGATATATAGATAGATAGATAGAGAGAGAGAGAGAGAGAGAGAGAGAGTAACCTCGAGTCTTCGTAACTCATACGAAAACTTTTTTAATTAAATTTCTTCGAGACGTCGATAATCACTGTTGGCCATATTTTCATTTGAATTTTGTACTTTTTCAGCGGCGGTGGATATAATTCCGGAGGCGGTAACGCCTACGCATCCGCCCAAGCCTCTGCGCAAGCTTCCGCTTCCAGTTATGGAGGATATTAAACAATAGAATTTGAAGTTTATCGATTATTTTTATACGTTTTATGGAATAAACAAGAGATAAAGATTTGTCGGGCATTAGAGATATTTCGAGCTGAAATTTCCAGCATAATCAATCTCCTTTACAATATGGTGAAATTCTGATATTTATTGAGACAATATAGTAATTGATAACATCACTGTCTCGCGTAGGATCCGTTATGATTATGTACAGAATTTATAACGATTTATTTTTAAATTACTGAATAATAAATTAATCTTTTCATATTCAATTGCTATTTCATTCGTGCGCAAGATAAGATAAGATATTTGAGCTATTACAAAACTTACAAATAATGAAGAAGGATCGTAAAAACAAGAGAGAGAGAGATAGAGAGAGAGAGAGAGAGAGAGAGAGATACAACAACGCTCTTTCTTTATATACGTGATATTTAAATGAAATATTTGAACATTTTTCAGCGACGAGTGATTTTAATAAGTCCATTTTATAATTTATTTCTATATAAAGGCAAATCTATATTCATTTTTTTAAGTATCATTGTGTTATTCCATATATAAAGAAATATTAAACGACAAATCAAAAATTTTAATAACATTAAAGTTTAAAGAAAAGAAGAAGAAGAAGAAAGAAGAGAACATGTAAAAATCGCGCTTCCTAAAAGTATCGGCTAGAAATTGTAACTGAATCATCCGCATTTGGATGAGATAACAAAATATCAATTTTTAAAAGAATCTTTTATAATTTAATGTAAATAATCTAATAGATTAAATTCTTAATTGAAATTGGGAATAGTAAAATTCAGTTTAATCGGCTACAAAGTTCTTGAAGATCTCTGATTGCCAACTTTGAAAATTCAGTTTTTACAAAATCGTATTTTTAAAGTTATAAATAATTTATAAATAAATAAATATATATATATATATATATATAGATATAGATAAAGATATTGTTTTAATCTTCGACGAATCGTATAGTGAACTTTTATATATCAAATTTTACTTTGCCTCCAATTGTAAAAAATAAATACAACTTTTCTATTAATTTTTGCTGAAGTTATCATCATATTCTTCTTACATAAACCATTTTTATTTTGTTGTTCCGAAAAATTTAATAGAATACATGTATTATGAGAATTCAAAAATAAATTCATAATATTTTCTTAATTTCTCTCAATTATATTCTTACATAATTCAATGAAGTATATGAAAATTTTATTGAAGTTTATTAGAAATACAATTTTGCATTGCTTATGGATTATCCAATTACTCAGTCGATTAGAATAACGAGATTTTATAATTACATGAATACATGATTAACTAATTTATTAGATTATTAATAATTATTAGTGCGCACGGTCATTGATCAATCCTGTATAGCCTGAAAGCCTGAAAGGCTTTGCTTAAACTATTTACAATAATGTATCATCTAACTAGATTTAATATTATAATAAACAAAACAAAAACAAACAAAAAAATACATATATATATATATATATATATATATATATATATATAAAAGGAAAAAATATTGAGGTAAGAGTTCTGGTTATCCTAAAAAATAATCAATATAGATTATTCTTTAAACGATATATAACGGTATATCGATTAATAATTAAATACGTTATTTCCATTACAAGTTAATATAACGTTGTATAATTTTATCGTTTACATTGAAGAGTCCTTGTAGGAGGAGAGGGAGGCAAGGAGACAGACAGCGCGTGAAAGATGTATAATGGAAAACGTCAATGGCGCAAGAAGAAATTTAACCGACGTAATTTCATAAACACAGCTCGTAAGTGCAAATATGGTAAATTCAAGCAGAGTGCGATCGACTTCCTATATTTTTTTTCGTCCCTCTTGTCCTTACTCTCTTGATATTTTGTTCCTTAAATTTGCCCAATCATTTTTAATCTCTTGGAAAGCTCTTGAATTGCCATCCACGCTAATTTCTTCGCAGAAATATCGCTATTGCAAGCGGGCCGCTTTTGTTTCGTAGCCGGCGACATTGACTTATGCAGACTTTCAGCGATTCGCGATTACCGATAATTGTTAAACCAACTTGTTGGTGATTTTGCCCCGTCAACCGAAAGGTTGTAACGACTACTACTGTAACCGCTGCGATAATGTGCCGGTAATTGCCGCGCTACTTCGTTGTAAATGTACATAACGGTAGAGACGTCTATTCTGCTTGTTTTGTGTTTTTCCTCTCGATTTATCTCTCAATTTTTTGAGAGAAGGTACGCGCGATTACCTCGGCTCGCGTGTTCCGGATGCTGAATTATTGATTTTACAGGTACGTCGTGATTAGCCGCAAATGCAAGAAGTTTTTCATAAGTAGACTCTGAGTGTCTTTTAGATTTAAACGACGCCTCGTACGATTATGCAGGGCGGCGAGGGGAGTTAGGGAGGGGGGAGGGGGGGGGAGGATCGGCCATTACCCTTTGGCTAATACTAATACGATTAGACATAATAATCGAATCAAAGTTGCCCCGACAAATTATTGCGAAGAAATTCTCCATAAGAAGCTATAAATGAGTTTGGTATGTGTGGTAAATCAGGAAATGAGATAGTTGGTTAAATAAAAAATAAATTATACTTTCTGCTTTGAAGTAGGAAAAACACAGTTTGAAATAAATTAATCGCGAATGCATAAAATTACATGAGATTGATTAACAGAATTACATGTGCTTTTAATCGACAAAGTATGAAATGATTAATTCCGTGCGATTCTGACGGCGTAGGTAATATTAAATTACCATTAGTAATAAGGATAATGTAGGTTAAATTAAAGTGGTAAAAAATAAAAAAAAAAAAAGCATTGATGAAGCGTTGAAATGTAGAAGAACGTTGAATATTAAATGTCGGATAAAAATTGTCAATTTATATGCTTAAAGCACCTCGTAATTTGTATGGCAATAGAAATGATTAATATTAAAATTCAAATTGCAATTAAATGAAGGTAATGCACATTGATAATCACGGAACGAGTAAAAAGGGGCTCCGAGTCGAACCACATACTTGCGAAGAATATAAAATGATCTAGTGTTTGACATTTAATGGTGGAAATGAAATAAAACATCAATACAAATTTAAATTAGTCGTTCTCTTGTTTGGGGGATAGAATACTATTATTTATATATGTTGGATATCGTAATATTAATAATAAATAAAAAGGAATAATTAATATAAGGAGTTGGATATTAAAGATAAAAATGAATGAAAGTAATGATTAAAAAATCTGTCCAAATAAATCTCGAATAATACTAAACGATAATTGTAAATGGATTAATTACATTTTTCGAAGCTACTTTTTGTTTTGTTTTTGTTTTGTTTTTGTTTTATTTATTCTATTGTTTTTCAACTAAATCTATTTGGTCAAAAGCATCTCAGCTAAAAGAAATTCTTAGTAAGAAAGAACTTATAGCAATCAATACGTTGGTGATTCGAATAATAAATTACCTACGTGTATGGCATTAGATTAACATTCTCAGCGAATCTTTTTGTCATATGAAAAAAAGTTGATCTTTAAAATTGAAGAAAAAAAATAGTGTAAAACAATTAGAATTAATTAGACGAATATTTTGCTACTTTTATTAATTACAATAATTATTTATGTGGAAAATTAATTATAAATATAATTGTAAATATATATATATATATATATATATATATATATATATTGAATAATGAATTAAATTTTGAAATCCACATTTGAATTTTTTTAAGTAATTATTGAAACTTTATTTATTTGTATGAGATAGAGAGGTATATATGTATTATGAGGTGAACGACAAGGATAGGAGTCTTTTTATATTTATTTTATTATAATGTGGCAATGTATATGAATAGAGTCCATGTATAATGCATGAAAATTATACCATTATAAATTATAAATTTACAGTTGCATACGGTTTTATATTGCAAAATTATATAAAAGATATATTTTTTCGTTCTAAATTATTTCGATTGAGCCGAGCTATATATTAAAATACAATTATGATAAATCATGTAAATCATAAGGCCAAGTATCAATGTATATGTACATGTATTTCATTAAGGGATAATTAATTTAGATTACGATCTAGAATTATTCTTTAGGATTTATGTTTTTGGATGTGGATGAAAAGGAAATACTACAAGTATAGGATTGAAATTTAACGCCCGAGCTTGAAGCTCGATTTATTGATAAATAACAATTGATCTGGCGCAGTCGATTGATAATTAATAGAATCGACTCCTTTACGCTTAGCCACCACACGCTCATTCGGCGAAATGACGAATCGATTACAATTATCGGAATACGTAATCTTCATGCTCGCCATATTTCGCATACCGTTAAAGTAATTGTAAAGTAGTATTCTCGAGAATGATTTGTGCGGCTGCCGATCAAATAAATTACGATAAACGAACGATGGAGTTCGTGAATCACCTATCTCCCCTCCACCATATATTATTCGACTGCATTGTTTAAGGATAGGCGTATTATCATGTCGGAAAAGGTAGTGAAAGGGTGTGACGAACGAGCCATAAGTCATACAAGATACGGTCGAGTCCGCGTGGTAAGCCAAGTGTAGGTTGGTCTCGGTCAAGATGCGCGATATCTGGGTTTGCGGGTCATTCGGGCCTTTGGGTTCATTAGTGGATGCCCGCTTCCAATATTCTTACGGGGATAAGTAGAATATGTGACTAGACGTCGATAAGCCAATATGGGAATAAGGTTTCCGTGCGCATGGCTATCGGTGTTTATCTCGTATAGAGACGCGACGATTCGAAGTGGGCCTTGGAAATTGTACGTTCAATTGTAAATTCCAAGCCCATTGGATTTGGAACAATGACTTTCCTGAGCAGCGATGTAGCGGCGTTCCATTGATGGCAAATAAAATAAATAATCCTTTCGCGACATAGGACTCGTATCATATAGCACGAGATTTTTAAATTCACCTCGCTATCCGACTTTTATTTCGTTTTCATTCCTATTCTTTTTTTTTTATCTTTTTTTTTTTTTTTTTTTGACCCCGACATCTATCTATTATCCGTGTGCATTATTGGAATGCCAAGTAAATGTCAAACAGAAGAGAAAAAAAGCAAAAAACCGTTAGTCTTGCAAA